CTTCTTTATTCTAGTAAATTGACTTCTTTTCTATAGTTGTTCAGGTTACATCCACAAGGAAAAATTTAGCTTTTTTCCTCCTGAAGTTTCCAATTTTGGGGGTAATTTTAAGCATAAATATAAACATAATCAAATATGAAACAAATGAAAATGAGATCCACAAACGTGGGATTAGCAATTCACTTTGTTACCATCTTTATCAACTTTAGCAGCTTGATTGTGGAGGACATTTTCTGACTTTGTTTTGGCTTCTTCAGTGTCCACTAAAGAGCTGCCTCTAGGGTACTTTAAGTACCCTAGAACTTAAAGTATAATTAAAAAAAAAAAAGAATTTCAAGCCAGAAAAAAAAAGATGCAACGTATTTTTATTATTTTAAGACACTTTTTTTCTTATGGAATTTTTTTTTAAACCCAGAAAAGTAGAAATTGATCTCTCATCCAGCCCCCAAAGGTAACTACTATTACTGTTTTCCTCCCATCTTTCATGCCATGAAAAATTGTTTTGCAAGTTCAAATTCATAATGGAGCTTACTTTTTCACTTAACATTATAACTAACCTTCCCCTATACTTTTTATAAGATCACTGTCAATGTAACATTTTAGTGGTTTTATAAGATTATGTACTGTGGATATAGCACTATTTAATATTCCTCTGCTGTTTGACATTTAGGTATGTTATAATACTTTATTAGTTATTTTCAAGCATTTCTTTTTATGGAAGTTTTAAAAATTACTTTCTTCTTTAATAATTACCAAAATAACTTGTACTAACTGTAACCAGTGAAGGAATGCAAAAAAGTACATAGAAACAGTTAACACAACTTCTCCCTACTCCTCCATGCTGCCTGCCCAACCTGGTGGGTTTCTTTACATAAGCATTCACCTCACTGATATAAATATACGCACACATATAAATGTTCAGTAACAGAGAACATGCATCCTTTGGTATATCCTCATATATTGGATATATGGGCCAGATTTTTAAAAGTAGGGTTTTATTTTTTTGTTTTTTTTTTTTGACATGGAGTTTCACTGTTGCCCAGGCTGGACTGCAGTGGCGCGATCTTGGCTCACTGCAACCTCTGCCCCCCTGGCTCAAGCGAGTTTCCTGCCTCAGCCTCCCGAGTAGCTGGGATTATAGGCGCCCACCACCAGGCCCGGCTGATTTTTGTATTTTTAGTAGAGAGGAGGTTTCACCATGTTGGCCAGGCTGGTCTCGAACTCCTGACTTCAGGTGATCCACCCATCTCAGCCTCCCTAAGTATTGGGATTACAGGCGTGAGCCACCATGCCTGGCAAAAGTAGGTTTTAATATTAATATAGGTAGGTATAGCCAGTTGGTTTTCCAAAGGTGGTGGCAATTCAAAGCCCTAACCAGCAATGTATGAGAAGGTTCATTTCTTCTTGCCACCATTGGCTATTTTAGCTTTTAAATTTCTGCCAAATTGAGTTAAAAGATGGAATCAGTTTATTTTACTTTTTATTCCTGTGGCGAGGTTCAGCATTCAGATATGCATCTCTGTAAACTGCCTTATCATAACCTCTATGCATTTTTCTATTGGATTGTTTCTTTTCTCTGACACTCATGGAAAGTTTTTAACCCTTATCTGGCATGTGGATTGCAAATATTTTACCTTTCCATGATTTATCTTTTGAATGTATTTATGGCATCGTCAGCAAGATAAAATATTTTAATAATCAATATATATTTTCATTACTTGTAGACTTCCTTTCTTGTTTAAATTAGATTTTCTTCTCTCTCTCTCTCTCTCTTTCTCTATTTTTCTCTTTCTCTCCTTCTTTCTTGTGGAGACAGGGTTTCACCATGGTTTTTGCCATGATGTCCAGTCTGGTCTTGAACTCTTGGGCTTAAGCGATCTGCCCGCCTTGGCCTCTCAAGTGTTGGGATTATAGGCATGAGCCACTACATCCAGCCTAAATTAGATTTTCTTTATCTCAAGATTCTATTAATATTCTTCTAAATTTTATTCTACTATTTGTTTTTATTTTTAATATTAAAATCCAATATCTACTGGATTTTATTTTTGTACATCAACAGTGTTGAATTCTGAGCCCTGTGTTCCTGGAAAGTAGGGATGGTTGAGAAATAAGACCCACCTCCATCCTTCCTCAAGGACTCAGATAAAGTCTGTCTCCATCTTTTCTCATGACTCAAGGATGGCTCCCTTGTTTATCTGCTTCCATAAAATCCAGCTCGCTTCCATTTCTTTTAGAAGGTCCTTATTAATGAACATTCTCCTTATTGCAAGTTTGAACCAAATCATCTCTTTAATTATCCAGTGTATTTTGTTTTTCACAATATTGTGCGAGGTTAGATTCTACATGTTTTCCTCTAGACTGACAACAGATTATACCAGCATTATTCACTTATCCATAAATAATCATGTTTTGAACAAGGCTTCACATCACATTGTTTTACACATATTTTTATTTATATGTGTAAAACACATATTTTTATTTTTATTTATTTTATTTTATTTATATATATATTTAAATAATATATATATTATTTATATATATAATATATATATTATTTAAATAATATATATATTATTTAAATATATATATATATATTTCTTTCTTTCTTTCTTTCTTTCTCTCTTTCTTTTTTGAGACAGAGTCTTGCTCTGTCGTCCAAGCTGGAGGCGCAATCTCAGCTTACTGCAACCTCTGTCTCCTGGGTTCAAGCAATTCTCCCGCCTTAGCCTCCCGAGTAGCTGCGATTACAGGTGTGCACCATCATGCCCGGCTGTTTTTTGGATTTTAGTAGAGATGGGGTTTCACCATGTTGCCCAGGCTGGTCTCAAACTCCCGAGCTCAGGTAATCCACCCCCCTCGGCCTCCCAAAGAGCTAGGATTACAGGCTTCACCACCGCGCCCAGCCTGTTCTATATTTTTTACTGTTTCCTTAAGCTAGATTCAATCTTAAGAGTGAACTAAGTTGCAGAGTATCAACACTCTTAAGGAAATGGATACCTGCACCAGGAGCTGAGTGCAGGTTCAAAAACAGGCCCAAATGGGGACGTGGTGTTGGCTTAGCCCTGAAGCAGTGGGCAGAATGTATACCAGAAAGTGATGCAGCTCAGTTTGCTCCTGCTTGCTTTCCTTGTATCTCTTGGAGATACACTGAACTTTAGTGGCCTTGGTCTAAAAGCGAAGTAACATCTCAGCCAGGTCAGAGGAGATTAGAATTGTAGGGTCTTACCCTTTATGGCTCTCCTCCCTCAACATACAAGGCAATTGCTTGGCTATTCAGCAAGTATCATCTAGGCCTAAAGTCTAGGTTCTTGGCTTTGAAATTCTGCTTTGTTGCACTAGGGCAATGAATTCTTATCTACATTTTGCTGCAGGGCCTAGATGTTTTCTACTTCTGGGTGTTTTTGTGGACAACCTGTCAAAGGATGGCCGTACAAATTCATATTTGGGGTATAAGAGTTCTTTACTATACCCTTGCTAGCATTAGGAATTTTTACTACCTGTTCAACTTTTAAATTTTGATCATGGAAATGATATTTCATTACTTAGGTTAGCATTTCTTTATTGTCAGTGAAGCTGAACATTTTTTCTACAGGCTTATCACTCTTCATTTTTGTTAATTGCTCATATTTGTTGTCCATTTATCTCAGGACAGAGTGAACTTACAGGCTTTTAAAAAATCATTTCTATGACCTTTTAATATATCAAAGCTTTAAATCTTTCATCATAGTTAATGTGAATATTTTTCCAGTTTATTGTCTTTTAGTTTGAGTGTGGTTTTATCTATTTAATTTCTGGAAGTTGTATATTTAATGAAATTGAAGCTATCATTCTTTTTCCTTTGTATCTTGTCATCTGTGTTGATCAACATTTGTTAAGCATTTACTGCTTGCCAGACTTTGGGCACTGCACTGGGCACCAGCAATGTGAGGAAATATAACCTGGTGCTTGTACTAAAAAGATAACCTCTGCATTTCCCCCCCGTAAATACAATTTTCTAATTTCTGAATCTGATTCTAATTTGGCTTTATTTCATACCCAGTGCCAGCCACTTAAGGAGTAGTCAGGATGCTTTTATTGAAGGAAGAAAGGATGTTATTGATAGTCATGTACTTCACACTTCAGAAGCTACGTTTATAAGCCAGCGACAGGAGAGGTGGGGAGGAATAGAAGTCATACATATGAAAGCAATTAAGTGTGGTTCCCATTTTGGGGGATGGATGCTGAGAATGAAAATGATCCACTCATTTATCTTTAAAATAATATAAACATTGTGAGACAGCATGAAACACATTCTTTCGTTTCTCTATCATATGGGAACAGGCAATTGGAGGACTGTGTCTTATTTGTCTTCATAGTTCTGTTGCTTAGCATAGTGTCTGGCTAAATGTGCAAGTTCCATAAATGTTTGTTGACTAAATCTCCAACACAAATGATTATATTTGGTAGAGTCTTACCTGGACTTTTTACCATATAAAATATGCTTTTCACATACTTGTAATCTCAGTCATCATACTTTTAGAATACTATTTTAATTAAATCCTTCCTATTATATTATATAATGGTCTTACCATGTTTACATATAATGGGATAACCATAGACCAATCAGCATCACAAATTCTACCTTTTAAACAAAAGGTATACCTGAAGTGTACATTTGTTTTGATAAAGCTATAACTTACAGATTGAAAATGCTTTTATAACATAGTCTTTTAACATGAATTTTCCAACCCCTATCCATAAAGGAATTTCCCCACTGGCTTTTGAAAAATGCAGTTCATTTGTCACTTTGCAGTAACAGAGTTGCTTTGTAAGAGTAAAATAATATTGTTCTGAGAAAACAGTCTTTGGGATGGAAGCCTTTTTCTAACAGCTTTCTACAAAGTTCAAGGGGAGAATCAGACAGATAATAATACATGGGGATGAAGACATGTGAAAGCTATTTAACCAGTGATGAAACACAAATATCAATATTCATTTTCAGTGATATATTTTGTTCTTACTTCTAAAGTTTGGAGAATTGTTTCCTTATAAAGCTTAACAATGTTTTCAACGTTTTCCAAATAATCTTCAGGCCTCTGAACTAGATGATGAAGAATTTCAGCCACCATCTGCATTTCGGCAATAAATGCCTAAATGGAAAAGAAGAGATTTCAAATATCTTTAGGTCAACGACTATTCAATTTACAAGCCATATTCCCTACTCCTTACACCTAGATACCATTTTGGGGTCAGAAGCAGGGGTAGGGGATGATTAGAGATTAAGGATTTTTATTTAAGAGTGTGGAAGGCCGGGCGCGGTGGCTCAAGCCTGCAATCCCAGCACTTTGGGAGGCCGAGACGGGCGGATCACGAGGTCAGGAGTTCGAGACCATCCTGGCTAACACGGTGAAACCCCATCTCTACTAAAAAATACAAAAAACTAGCCGGGCGAGGTGGTGGGCGCCTGTAGTCCCGGCTACTCGGGAGGCTGAGGCAGGAGAATGGCCTAAAAACCCGGGAGGCGGAGCTTGCAGTGAGCTGAGATCCGGCCACTGCACTCCACCCTGGGCGACATAGCCAGACTCCGTCTCAAAAAAAAAAAAAAAAAAAAAAAAAAAAAGAGTGTGGAAGACTCCTAGGGGGTCTTCATCAGATGGAATAAAGATTTAAATTAACCTGAATATTTTCTCATGTCTGTTTGCTCCCCAATAAGTAGGGACAAGCAGGGGAAGAACATCAGATTTTGAGAGACAAAATAGAGAAATTAGATTTCCTGTGAACACCTGAGCTTGTAGTTCATTCATTCAAGTATTTATTGAGTGTCTTCTATGCATCAGGTGCTGTTCTAAGGATTTGGGATAGAACAGTGAACGAAACCAACTAACACCCTGGGCTCATAGCACTCACACACACTGCAGTTGAGGAAGGCAGCATAAACAAGTACACAAATAAATATATAACATATTAGGTGGTGGTAAGCACTAGAAAGAAAAATAAAGCAGGGTAGCATGGATGAAGAGTGGTGGGAGAAGATGCTATTTACATCAAGTGGTCATGAAAGGGTTATCTGAAGAAATGGAATTTGAGTTGAAATCTGAAGGAAATGAGGGAGAGAGAACTGCCACACAAGTTTCTACAGAAAGAACATTTTAAGGCAGAGGCAACAGTGTTCCATATCATATTTATGATGCTAATTATTCATTCTTTCCCATTTTTATCAATGTATACATATACATATTTTACTTGAGCCATATTCTCTATATAAGCCATTTTATAACCTGTTTTAAGTATTATTTTAATGGTCAAATAATATATTAATTTCCTTGAATGTACAATTATTTAATTACTCTATAGTTGGACAACAATGTTTCAGGCTTTTCACAATTACAAATAATATTGCAATAAGTAGCTTTGTAAATAAATCCTTATATGGCTAATATTTTCCCTTAGAATAATTCCTACAAGTAGAATTACTGGACCAAAGGTTGTACATTTCAAAGTGGCTCAATACACATTTTTTCCGAAAGATGCTACCATTCTTTTCTCCCTAGTAGAGGGCTTTGCTAGCACGCTGGCATTCATTCATTCGTGATTACACAGCTTTGTATTAAGTACCCACTATCAGGCACTGGAGACAGTCCCTGCTGCATAGAGTTTTCATTCAGTGGGGCAGACAGATAATAAGCAAGTAAAAAAGTAATATAATTTCAGAAAGTGATAAGTGCTATGAGGAAAATAAAACAGAGCAAGGGGCTAGACTTATGCTATTCAGCATGGAAGTTATTAGCCACATTTCCCCATTGAGCACTTGAAATTTGGCAAGTGCGATTGGAATGTGCTGTAAATATAAAATACATACCAGATTTCAAAAACTTAGATGAAAATAGAACATGTCATTCTCAGAATGTTTATGTTGATTATAAGTTGAAATAAAATTTTTTGATATATTTAATTAAATAAACTATATTATTCAAATGGCTTTCACTTGTTTATATTGATTATAAGTTGAAATAAAATTTTTGGATATATTCAATTAAATAAAATACATTATTCAAATGACTTTCATTTGTTTCTTTTTGCTTTTAAAAAGCATGACTACTAGCACATTTAAAATCACTTATGGCTAGCAGTACATTTCTATTGCACAGCGCTAGGTTAGAGAGTTGCTTGCTGGAGGGTCTCTGAGGATGTAATACCTGGGGTGAGACCAGGATGAGTAGAAGGAATAGCCATGTGAAGATGAATTGAAGAGTGTTGTAGGCAGAGGAGAGAGGAAACAGTAAATGCAAAGGCGTGAAGCTGAAATGAGCTTAGCACAGTTGAAGACGACTAGCTAGAAGGCTAATGTGGCTGGAATACAATGAGTAGGCAGAATTGAGATCAGAGAGGCTGGGTTCATGGCTTTGTAAGCCACATGAGGGTGTTTGGATTTTAATCTAAAGGCAATGGAAAGTCACTGAGGGTTATTTATATACATTTTTAAATGAGTCTGGCTTCTGTAACAAGTGGAATGGGATAGGGAGGGTTGAGGAGAACAAAAGCCAAGAGAACATTTACAATGCTGTTGTAGCAATTCGAGGACAGTGCTTCGATTTGTGTGTATGTAGGATGAATACACCTTCATGTTGGCCATTGATCTCAGCAGGTGGCAGGTCTGCTCATCTAACTTCTGAACATGGCTGTGTCACTAGGCAGAGATCATGCAAACCAGACCCCAGAGGCTGAGTCTAGTCTAAGGATATAAACTGATCATCTCCCACAGCACTGGCCAGCATTGTGTTGTAAACATTTCAGACTAATTGCCACTCCCATCTATTTTAAAACGTGTTTTTGGCTTCCCTGGAAAAAATGGCCTCCCTGGTAAAAATGGGCCAGCATTTCCACATGGCAAAAGTTGGCTGGGCTGGAGCCAAGAGGCAGTTGTCCTCTGAAGAGCATGAAACTTTCTGCAGAAATGGAGACGTTCCATAGCTCCACTGTCCACAGCCATACTTGGCCAATGAGCACTTGAAATGTGGCTAGAGATACTGAGTAACTAAATTTTAAACTTAATGTAATTTTAATTAATTTCAATTTAAATAGCCATGTGAGGCTAGTGGCTATCATACTGCACAATGCAGTGTTAGCCTACCCCAATCCTCCCTCTTCCCAATTATGTAATCCCTGGCCGATATCACCAATGGATATAACCTACCTGACCCCTAAAATTAAGTGAGTTGTGACCCCTGTATCTCACCATTTGAGGGCTACATTGGCTTTGATTTCAGATGTTATGTTTTATTTATGCTAAAGTGGCACACTTTATTCCTACTTGCTATGAGGCTTTCCTTTATTTGAAAAAATCTGGAATTCATGCTGGTTACTATCTAACGCCTTATTTACATGGGTGAGATTATGTTTTTAAATGGGCTTTATTATGTTAACACTTTAAAAAAATTGAATACCCATTTCAAAGATTTATCTAACCCATTAATTAGGGGACCAGTAGAATGGCAAGGTGAAAGTATTTCTAATCTCTGAAATAATATTGCAAAGTTAGATACAAGGCTGCTTAATGTCCCATATGACAATAAAGCTGTAACTTTTGGGGGTTATCTTTTTCTACTGGAGAAACAATTTGCAATGTGTCTATCTATAAATTAACATCTGACTTCACAGCATCTAGGCCCTAATAGAAATAATCAATCACAGGCATATTTCACTAGGGCAGGTATTGGCCAACTATGGCCCTTCCCACCCTAGTGGGTCATATCCAGACCATCACCTATTAATACATTTCTTAATATCAATTTTTCTTGTCAAGTCATGGTAAAAGATTCTCTTTTAGCCCAAAACCTTAGAAGACAAAAATATTATTTTGATGCCCTATTGCTTATATTTAGTAGTATTTACTTTAGAATTGTCATAAAAATGTGTACATGTGAAATTGGGCTACATATTTCTTTTCACATTCTCTGTCAGAGTTTGAAATCAGGGTTGTGTTAGCTTCACAAATTGAATGATGCCTGGTTTACTTTGCTCCCCACATTATATTTAGTCCTTTATTACTCTGATATGGTTTAAATGTTTGTCTCTTTCAAAGCTCATGCTGAAATTCCGTCCCCAATGTAGCAGTATTGAGAGGTAGGGTCTTTAAAAGGTGACTGAGTCATGAGGGCCCATGAAGGATTAATCCATTCATGGATTAATGGGTTAATGGATTAAGTGGTTATTATGCGAGTAAGACTGGTGGTCTTATATGAAGAGGAAGAGAGACCTGAGCTAGCACACTAAGCCGCCTCACCATGTGATGCGCCACCACCTCGGGACTCTGCAGAGAGTCTCCACCTGCAAGAAGGCCCTCACCAGATGCGACTCCTCAACTGTAGACTTCTCAGCCTCCATAACTATAAGAAATAAATTCCCTTTCTTAAGGGAATGCTCAAACACTGTTGGTGGAGTTGTAAATTAGTTCATTCCCTGTTGAAAGCAGTTTGAAGATTTCTCAAATAATTGAAAACTGAATTATTCAACTCAGCAATCCCATTACAGGTCATATACCCAAAGGAAAATAAATTGTTCTACTAAAAAGACACTTACACTCTCATGTTTATCGCACACTGTTCACAACAGCAAAGACATGGAATCAATCTAGGTACCCATCAGTAGAGGACTGGATAAAGAAAATGTGGTACACATACACCATGGAATACTACACAGCCATAAAAAAGAATAAAATCATGTCCTTTGCAGTAACATGGATGCAGTTGGAGGCCATTATCAGAAACAGAAAACCAAATACTTCACGTTCTCACATGTAAGTGGGACTTAAACACAGGGTATACATAGACATGAAGATGGGAACAATAGACACTGAGGACTCCAAAAAAGGAAAGGGAGGGAGAAAGGGAAGGGTTGAAAAAATCCTTGTTGTGTACTGTGTTCCCTATTTTGGTGATGGGTTCAGTGCAAGCCCAGACCTCAGCATCACACAATATATCCATACAACAAATCTGAACATGTACCCCCTGAAGCTTAAAATTAAAAAAAAAAAAAAAGCCATTCTTTATAAATTACCCAGTTTCAGGTATTCTGTTGTAGGTAACAGAAAACAGACTAAGAAATGCTCTAACTTCTTATTCTACCTTGCCTAGTGCTTGACACATAGTAGGTGACCAATAACTCCATCGTTATGAAATGAAGCACACTGGGTGTCAGAACATCAGAAATGTAGAGACACATCTACACTGACAGGAAGGCTAAACTTGACTTCAAGATTATCATCTCATAATCCTTGAAAACATGAAAGACTTTTGCTTATTTCCTCCAAACTCAATAAAAATGTAAAGAAAATGTGTAGCATCTGCTATTTCCTATTACCTATACTATCATTTAATTTAATTATAGCAATTTTTAAAAGTATAGTATATGGTAGTTACCTATTGAGATATTACCTCTTCTTCTTCTTGCTCTTCCTCCTCTTCCTCCTCTTCTCCTTTTCTGTCCTTTTGGGTTTCTTTCTTCTTTTTCCTCTGATTCTCAATGACTTCAGGATCCCACTGGTCTCTACTGTATATGTATCCCGTATTATTGTGCTGTCTTTGCCCAGAAATTCTCTGGCACAAATCATAGTCAGGACACTAAGAAACAACATTATTAAATCACTTAAAACATTTTGAATATGCTTTTAATTCCATGTGTATTTATTGAATATACTGTACAGTACATAAACCAAAAAATTCCCTTAAAACCTAAGGAAATGCAATGTTGTGACTGGCATTTTGCATCAGGTTTCATTACATGCCAAGAGAGGCTCAGACACTAATTTTATGCTATATGTTTTTATTTGTCCAAAATTAATACAGGTGGAAAAGTATTACAAGTCTTAAGATGAGGAAAGAGGATTGGAAAAGTAGAAAGAGTAGAGAAAGGGAATAGAAAATCAGTTAACTCTGCAAAGGTACACAGAATTCTATGATTAGCTTGAAAAGTTTAAGAATGGAACAAAATGGGGGGAATAGCCACATATTTCCAATAAAAAATATTGTTTATTTGTAATATTTACTATGACTTACAGCTTTATGGGTGAGGTATTTTATACAATGCCAGTCATAAATGGGACCTGAAAGATCATCTATTCTAGTTTAACATTTATATTTTGTAAATGAGAAAACCGAATCTAGGTAGTAAAAAAGCCAAAACCAAAGTCTACAAGTTTCTTGTTCCAAATTGCTTTCACATGTGCGATTTTACTGAATTCTCAACTAACCCTATAAGATAAGCAATCCAAATTATGATTAAAGCCATTCTGCAGGTCAGAGAAGTACAGCTCTGGCAGACTGAGAGACCAATCTCAGATCACAATGTCACATGGAGGAACTGCAACTTGGAACCAGGCCTTCTGATTGTAGTCCATGGTCTATGGTGCATTATTAATGATAATGATGGTTTGAGGCTGTAAATTGTGCTCTGAATGTTTTTCAGGATAAAAAAAAATCTGGATGGTTTTCTGAGGCAGTGATTCTGATACATGAGCATGTAACTCTATCTGGGGAGCTTGTTAAATCGATCACAGCTCCTCTTGTCATTTATTAAGTTTGGAGTGAGGCTTAGATTCTTCAACAAGCATCCTCAGTGATTCTGATGCCGGCAGTTCATGTACCACACATTGAGAAACGAAGGAAGCCAGGAACGTTGGAACCTTCATTGCTCATTTTCTGATTTCTTCATGCCATCTCTAGGTGGAGATGGGATGGGTAATTATTGAGGTAGGACTTTTGTTAGGCTTCCTAATTTTTCACAAAAATTTTCAACCTACTCAGGTAATTTTTTTTTTTTTTTTTTTTTTTTTGAGACGGAGTCTCGCTCTGTAGCCCAGGCTGGAGTGCAGTGGCCGGATCTCAGCTCACTGCAAGCTCCGCCTCCCGGGTTTACGCCATTCTCCGGCCTCAGCCTCCCGGGTAGCTGGGACTACAGGCGCCCGCCACCTCGCCCGGCTAGTTTTTTTGTATTTCTTAGTAGAGACGGGGTTTCACCGTGTTAGCCAGGATGGTCTCGATCTCCTGACCTCGTGATCCGCCCGTCTCGGCCTCCCAAAGTGCTGGGATTAAAACATCTGTTTTACAACCCAGGATACCCACCTTCTAGGACCTTGACAAGAACTATCTCCTTCAGCTGTCTCCCGTTCTCATTTGCAGGAAGTGACTAATGAAAGTGTGAGCCTGAAGCATATGCCTCAGAGCAGAAGTGCTCAGTGTCACCTAGAGGGCTTTGCAACACCAATAGCTGGGCTCCATCTGACAGATTCTGGTTCTTAGTTCTGGGGCAGGGCCTGAAAATTTGCGTTTCTACCAAGCTTCTGGTTGCTGTTGCTCTGGGACCACTCTCTGATAACTACTGCTCTAGTAGATTGCTAGACTTTAACCAGGTTTTTGGTAGCACAGAATCCTTTAGAATATGATGAAAACCATAGATTTTTGCATCAGAAAAGTTCATATAGGCATAAAGTTTTATGTATAATTTCAAGAGGTGCATGAATGCTTAGGGATTCATGGATCTCGGGCTAAGAGCCTCTGCTCTAGAAATTCCAGGCTTATTCCCCAATAAGGCCAAACTATCCAAAAAGTATGTGTTGCACTGAATTCTGTCTCACATTACGCCCTCTGGTGATACTCTGCTTACCCTGTAGAAACTGCCACAGGACACTTCACAATCACACTTATAACATGAATGGGGTTAAGGACTTTATTCACTACATTAAGCAGTCTCTTATATTAAGACCCATCTAAGGTATTTCTGTCATTCACAATGGCAGTCTTGTTTTGCCTGAGGAATGACTTGTTTTCTCATGGACAATGTGAATTTTATAACTGGTCACATTTCCCCTTTTACTTTAGTTCATCAAACCTAGAACCAAATTTATGACCCAAATTTAGTAACCATTTGGGGTCTTCTGGCCTGTATATCTGTGTGCTCTCTCTCAATTAGATCTTAATTTCCTATTGAATCTGTCTTTTCCTCAGTTTAGTTTTTATATGTGGTTTAGTTTTATATGTGGTTTTCTCTCTTTTATGTCCACATTCACATGTGTGACATTCTCAAGTTCACTCGCAATTGTGACTGAGCCCTGGCCATGAGTGGTGGCTGGGGCTGCAAATTACACCACACGCAGAACTGCAAGGCCACCTCTCTCACACAGCTGACCCTGACACTCCACTGGGTCCCAGCATCTGAGCTGACAACCATCTCATTTATTTGAGCTGTCATAGTATGGATATGGCAAAGTATGGATACAAAGGTTATCATTCATTTTGACATAAACAAGAAGATACCACCTTACTAAATTGTTATCACAACCCCATGAGGCAGCTATTGTCATCTTTGTAAAAAGGAAATCAAGACTTCTAGATGTGATTGACCAAATTCTAACAATAAAAGAGAGAATTAGGAACAGGACCCAGCCTTAACTCATAATTAATATAGCAGTGTTCTTTAACATTCATACATTCATGCCATGTGTCTATTCTTTCATTTTATTAGTAAACTTACTAGGTGCCACTAGGTACCACATAGTATACTGGTTGATATTTATATGAACGAGACATGGTTCCTATCTTCAAGTAAGACAGAGACTAGGAGGAAAATGGATAATTATAATGTAGTAAGGTGAGTAACATGATAGGGAGGGAAAAGCACCACGAATGGTCATCAGAGAGAGATTTAACTCTCTTATGATAAGTAAGGTATGGAAGGGAGAGAAAGAAAGAGAGATAGTGGAGCGGGGTAGTTGTCAGGGAAAGTTCTAAAGAGATGATGTCTTAACTGACTTTCAAAGGATGGCTATGATGAAGCCTGGTGAAGAGGCAAGAAGGTATCTCATGTGGATGGAGCTGTAGGAGCAAGAGGACAGAACGATGAGAAAGTATGACTCAGTTCCTGCGATTGATGCATAAGTTACTATCTCCATAACTACTTAAAAATGTTTAAAGCATTCCTTGAATTTAACTACTATCAAAAACAATGGTTTACTCTACTAGCAAAACAATTAATATCCTTACCTTTATATTGATTATAATATCAGGTTTCAAATTTAAGTTTTTAATTAATTCTATTTGCTGTAAGGTAGTCATGGCATCCTGTGAAAGTGATGGTATTTCAGTGATAATATAACCTGTAAAGTAAAACATAATTTTAAAATTTTATAAAATTATCAACATATGAGGGCATGGATTTACTACTTTATAAAATATCATTTATCATAAAGTCATCTGTAAAAATTTTAAATTAACACTTAAGGTGATTGTCACATGAAGTGTAACTACGAATAATGTTTTTCTGATGATAAAGAAATCACTGGGCTAGAAAGAGACATTTTTGAAAATTCCAAGTCAATTTATTTTAGACAGATGAGGTACCTAGGGAAGGAAATTTCATGCCAGTAATTACTTTAACTCATGTTAGGAAAGTTTACTCATATAAATGGTAAAGGTATATTATAGGAGTTGCATGCCATATCATTTTCTTTCTCATATTAATATTTCATAGTATAGTAGAACACATGTATATAATGTTTGTGTAAGTTATGAGAGTAATAAAACACCCATGGACATACTATAATTTTCTTTTTTTTTAAACAGCCAATATAATTTTGGTTTAGTGCAGTTATTAGCTTGTATCCCCACCCAGAAATCTCAATCTTCTCACTGAAATTCACCCTGTTTACCATCATCATATTAATTTCCTTAATATATTTCTTTAATTATGTTATTGTCTTGCTCAAGAAACTTTTCTCTTATTTATAAAGTCTCAATTCCTTCAGTGGGAAATAAAACTTTCAGCTTATTTTTCTACATCTTTTCCTGGAAGAACAACAGACAAACTATGTTTATTCAGCCTTGGGTATTTGGCAGAAATTTTATGAAAAGCGAATGGAATGACCCTGTCACTTCAAGGACAAAAAGTGATAGCATTTGTTGCCAGTTATAACATTCAAGTGAAAATCTGAATTTCGAAAAACTTATATCCAACACCATAAGCTTAATAAAGGGCTTTTCTTGGTGAGATTGGTGGTGACATTAACAAATGCGATTTTTTGATACTGTATAGTAAAATGTGTCAACATTTGGAAGATCTGTATAACTCAGTGAACCAACATTTTCCAAATGACCAATGCATGGTACCACAAAAATTAGGCATAGGTTATAGGCTCATTCCAAGTGCAAGATAGACCAATGGATTTTAATGTAACCAAGTTTTGAAAAGTTTACTGATAACAGTTTCAGATTCCACAATGCAACCAACCTTCAGGAAACTTCCGCTTGTTGGGTTTTGATGTAGAATCCACAATTATTCCAAAGGCTATTAAAACACTCCTCCCTTTCCAAGTATGTATCTGTGTGAAACTACATTTTCTTCATGTACTTCAGCAAAAGCAATATATTGCAACAGATTGAGCAGAAGCAGGTGTGAGAATCCAACTTTTCTTAAATCGGACATTGAAGAGATTGCGAAAATGTAAAGCAAAGCCACTCTTCTCCCTAATTTTTTGTTTTGAAAAATTATCTTTCATAAAATATGCAATTTATGTTAACAAGTCATGGTTTTATGATTTCTAAACAGATAAATATTTTTAAAGTCTCAGTTTTAATTTCTAATATGGTAAGTATAAATACATATAGCCCATGTAAGCACAACCTCTTATGGAGCCTCAACAATTCTTATGAGTGTAAGGGAGTCTTGTGCCTCAAAAGTTTGAGAACCACTATCTTAATGCAATGCCTAGAATAGCATAATAAAAAAAGTTACTAAGCATCTGTTGATAGATGAGTGAATGAATGTGTGTAAAACAAACTTAAAATTCCTCACTTGAGAATACACTCATCACAATCTTTTATTTTTATTATTTATTTATTTATTTAGAGATGGAGTCTTGTTCTGTCACCCAGGCTGGAGGGCAGTGGTGTGATCTCAGCTCACTGCAACTTCCACTTCCCAAGTTCAAGTGATTCTCCTGCCTCGGCCTCCAGAGTAGCTGGGACTACAGGCGCACACTACCACGCCCGGCTAATTTTTGTATTTTCAGTAGAGACAGGGTTTCACCATGTTGGCCAGGATGGTCTCCATGTCCTGACCTCGTGATCCACCCGCCTCCGCCTCCCAAAGTGCTGGGATTACAGGCATGAACCACCACGCCCGGCCACAATCTTTCATTTTTAAAAAAGAAGACCAGGCCAGGCGTGGTGGCTCATGCCTGTAATCCCAGCACTTTGGGAGGCCGAGGAAGGCAGATCACAAGGTCAGGCGTTCGAGACCAGCCTGGCCAACATGACGAAACTCCATCTCCTCTAAAAAAAAAATACAAAAATTAGCTGAGTGTGGTGGTAGGTGCCTGTAATCCCAGCTACTCGGGAGGCTGAGACAAGAGAATCGCTTGAACCCGGGAGGCAGAGGTTGCAGTGAGCCGAGATCGCACCACTACACTCCAGACTGGGTGACAGAATGAGACTCCATCTCAAAAAAAAAAAAAAAAAAAAAAGGGCCGGGCGCGGTGGCTCAAGCCTGTAATCCCAGCACTTTGGGAGGCCGAGATGGGCAGATCACGAGGTCAGGAGATCGAGACCATCCTGACTAACACGGTGAAACCCCGTCTCTACTAAAAAATACAAAAAACTAGCCGGGCGAGGTGGCGGGCGCCTGTAGTCCCAGCTACTCGGGAGGCTGAGGCAGGAGAATGGCGTAAACCCGGGAGGCGGAGCTTGCAGTGAGCTGAGATCCAGTCACAGCACTCCAGCCTGGGCGACAGAGCGAGACTCCGTCTCAAAAGAAGAAGAAGACCAAGAACCCAAGAACCATCATGCTAATTCAAAACCTAATTAATGCTTAGGCATACACAATTTCTCCTAAGCTTTTTTGATCACTTTACTTTCTGCTAACAGTGTGTTAGGCTCTACCCAGAGAAGCAATCCTACCTAATTTAACTTAAAAAGGCAGAAAGAAAGACCTTGTCATCTTGGTTTTGGACATATGAACTGTAATTATGATTCTCTCTTGTCTGGCTGTAATCCTTAGTGTCCAACTTGGCTTACCTACGTGTTCCTGCTATTGCCTTAAACGTAGCATGGTATCCCCAAGGCATCTATCCTATTGGAGATTCATTAAATGAGCTCAGTGCATCCCTGAAAAAACGTAGACACTGCCGGTACTGTCTCAAGAATGGGGCCAGACTTTTCTCTGCCTGCCTCTTCTTGTTCTCTGCTTTCTGCTTTCCTGGCTCTACACCACCCTTCTTTGGTTTGGCATCTCTGCTCTTGTTGTGAGTCTAGCTTTCACTTGATTAACATGTTTGAACTGGTTTTTAAGACTTTGACCAGCATCTCCTCTGGTACACGATGGCTGGCATTAACTCCGGGTCTGACACATTGTGATGGTGGGTACTACAGTGAAGGGGACTGCATGCCTAGCTCCGGATGGAACTCAACCCTTGCCCAACTAACTCCTCCAAGTTGGACAGTTCCAGAGGCCATCTATCTCCAGAGTTCATGCCCTTCCCTTGTAAGCAAAAGCAACAATATCTCCCTGCCATTCCCTATGCTGGCAATACTTCCCAACACCTGTCTATCACAAGTGATCACAGAAAGATGCTTGGCACTCTGGTTGCTGTGCTTGCCAAAAGCCTTCCTGTTCCTACAGCCACTGCCACTGCCCAGAGAGCTTATCAGGCATTCCACGTGCATCTGTTTGCAGGAATGCTGAACTTCTGGTGTACATGTATATTGGAATGATGTTCATACTTGGTCCCTTTACTGATGGAAGCGGCAGAAGAATAAGTAATTTCCATGGATCTAGCTCTCTCTTGAAAGGCCATTATTTGGGCTGCCTAAATGTTCTGAGCTATGAATTTTGGGGCTCTACCCTCTGAGAGATGTCTAGTATTATCATTCCAGAGCCTAGGGGTGTATCTATAGGAAGAGGTGTAAGATAGACAGTTATGTCATCTAAGTTTGTCTCATCATTGCAGATGTAAAGTGGAATACCTTAGTCCTCTAGTGCCAATTCTGGGAAGATCCCAGGGACACACTGCTTGCTAAACAGACCAGAACTACTGAGTCCACTGTCAACCTTTCCAATTCCAGAGACACGTGAGGATGAAAGTATAGATGAGGAACTCCTCACTCCCACCCCCACATGTCCTTGAGACCATTACCAAGCCCTTGCCCTTCCATGCTAAAGATGGAGGAGTGGTACACCCCCAGCCAGTCCTTGCTGGGAGACTGTGCATGTTCTATCATAGGCAGAGTAGGTGCTTTGTAGGCCATTGCCCAGCTCTCATTAGCCCAACAAGTGAGAAACTGTAAGACTATCCAGACCACTACCCAGAGGAAACTGACTTTTCCCAGGCCCATACCATCACTTTGCCACCATTTCTTGGCACAGTGGGAAGGAGAAGGCATTTTCTATTTCCATACAAATGAAGATGGCAGACTACTGCTTTCAGATCTAAGTGATGAGAGATTCAGAGACATCAGGTAGCTTTGTGTCCAGCCATCCCTGCTACCCATCTGACCTCAGGCCAGGCTGATGTAGCCTTGTGTCCAGCCATCCCTGCTACCCATCTGACCTCAGGCCAGGCTGATAGGAGTGGACACATTGGTGACCAATGACTTGCAAGGCTATTCATAATGATACACTCGGGGCAGGGAATGCCCAGACTGGGGCTATTCATTCACTGGGGAAAAGGAGATTTTCCAGAATCGAGAAGCAGGGAGCAGTGAAGAGCTTTTAGGATGCCATGTATTGACTCTACTATTTCTCTTGGGTAAGGACATAGCTTTGAGAAGCTGATTTTGGTTAAAGGCCAAAATAATACAATAGATTGTGAATGAAAAGTTAATTATAGATCGTGTAGGCCCTTTTAAAATAGTGATGGAAACACAAATTATAAAAGGGCTCTAGTATAAAACAAAATTAAGATGAATTTGGCAATACTCTGCTGTGTGATGTCCCTGGAAGTGCACATATCTCGTTAGGGATTTTGGAGTCATCAATTATCCATCTTCACCCAGCCTCTCACTCAAGTTTATATCCCTGTTTTGAAAACCCTTCACTTCCAATTTTGCTTCTACCTTCCACCAGGTTACGGGTTAAGAGCAAACATCGGGATGAGAGGGCTTGCTGGGAACTTGGGCAAAGACTTTCAAACTGTATTTAGCAGAGTGCTAGGTTCTAAAAAAATTCCTGTGGGGATGCTACAGGATGGGCTGAGGGGTGGCTGGGCAGAAGGGGCTTTAGGTTCCATCTCCACTGCAGCCTTTAAATGAGCTTGTTTGTGCATGCCTAGAACATGGCCATGTAAGCAAATGGTAAGGGTGTGGTCCCCAGACTCAAGAAACCATTTATATCACTTTTCCTCTGCCAGCTTCTAGGACAAGTACTAGCATACAGGAAGTACTGAGGTCTGAGGAATGTAATCAGCCAAATCCAGAATGTGGGAAACTCTGCAAGACAAGTGACCCATTTCTTCAACAGAGAAGACACAAGAAGACAGAAAGAAGTAGCGGAAACTTATAGATAAAAAGAGACTTGAGACATACTAGTCACTTACACTATGTGAAATCTGGTTAGATCCTGCTTCAAAAAAAAAATTAACTAAAAAACATCTATGAGGTAATTAGTGAAATCTGACCACAGACCGTTTAGTAGATGATATCGAGGAATAACCATTTTTTAGGTGTGACAATGGTAATGCGGTAATAGCTTTAAGAGTCTAAAAGATCTTTTAGAAATATAAATGAAACATTTTATAGATGAACTGATATGATATGGATTAGCTTCAAAATAACATAGGTTGAGAGAAGGGAGTAAGTAGAAGTGTAGATGAAACGAGATTAGACTAGAGTTGGTTTTGAACATATGCTGAACCTGGGTGGTAAAGTGGAAGGATCTTTATACTAATCTCTCTATTTTTGTTTGAACTATTTCCTAATAAAAATTGTAAAACATTATGAACACCATGAGAGGCACAACTGAGTTTCTTTGTATTGTTTTTTTTTTCTTTCTCCTTTTGCCAATACTTATAAGTTATGCCATCTTTTTTGTAGCCATATAAACCAATCCAAGTTTTTCAAGAGGTAAGTGAGGTTAACAAATAGGTATTTACTTACCTACCTATATACATACTTCTATTTCAAATAGTTTGCTTTCTGATAATTTGGAATTCTGTGATTCCTGTTTGCCTTTTTACTTATCCAGCCTTCCATATTCTGGATATTTTGCCCAAGTTCAATCTCTTTATCACTGCTGAGCAAATAGGTAGTAAGTGGATAGACAGGTAGGTAGTTTACAGACAAACCTTATCTATCTACTTACATTATAATGCATTTATAATCATATATATTAATCTATATATATGTATCATATACAGAACCCATATATCCACACAGAGACCTATCTACATATGTGGATAGATATGGGACATTCTGTGTATCATCTCTCTACACGTATGATCTATATGAAGAGGTACCTTTCTGTCTATAGACAGAGACCAATCAATACAGTTTGACAAGGCTGCTTTTGCTGCTTCCATCATTGATTTGCTTTGGCAGTTATGGTTTTTACTTTCCTGTATTTTTATTCCTGCATTAATAGTTACAATGTCCTCTTCTAACTTACTAAGAATATAAAGCAACTTTCTTAATTTTTCTTTTTTCATTCAATAAATCCATTTCAGGTGGATAATTTTATCCCAAACTTGTCATTATTCTTCTTCTCTTCTTTAGAAGAGGTATTAGAGTTTGCTCTTTTCAATCATTTTGAGCTTCAGTGGTCTTTGTCTTGAAAAATTAGATCCAAAGCCCTTGCTCAGCATCCATTTGAGTACCAGGAGAGGTTTCAGGTCCAGAGTCAGAGGGCAGACTGGATGAACAGGATGAAGCCTGAAAATATCTGGAGCTCAACAGTAAGATGGTGGCATACCACTTCCCATTCCTGCCTTTTAAGTGCGGATTCATGCAGACAACCCTAGCCATTTGTCAGGACTTAACGACATTACCCAAGGTGTATGAGGAAGCAGTCAGCAGAGTTAGCAGTACTGCAAGATGGACCACAGCAGGTTTCTGATGCTTTTATTGGATAACACAATGTTAAAGAAGATTGGGTCATATAAACTTATTTTTTAAACAAATGTACAATCTGAGAAATAAAAACAAACAAGCAAATAAAACCATCAAGCTGCTCAACTGAATAAAGATAATGAGATTCCTGTGCTAAGGCAAAAGAAAGGGCAACTCCAGAAACTATTTTTGCCTCAGGTAAAGCATGAGTTTTAAGGCTGCTTTGTGGGCTGTAAATATATTAAAATAAACATACCAAAGTGACAGACTTCTGGGGAGTTGAGCTTCTCCAACATTAGCTTTATGACAAGTTCATCTGGAATGCTTTGACCGCTGATCAACATTGATTGCAACTAAGGACAAGCATAGATATTGTACATTACTGTATAATATATCTATTATACAGAGCTTTATTTTTGTAATCATAGTTACTTTGAAATTTAGGTCTGTTTACCATAACTCCTGATTCAGTTTCAGCAACAATCTGTTCTTCCAAAACTGGCAGAGCTAAAACATGAATTCAAAATATTAATACAGACTGATACTAGGATCACCAAAATAAGAAACACATTCTAGTGTCTTCTAAGTGGTAACAAAGATTAACATTTGTGCATCACTTTATGATTTACAATGCAAATGTATGCATATTACGTCATTTAAGCCTAACCAAAGCAGAAGCAGCAGAATGTCTTCCACAGAGAACTTGTCTCTGCCACTCACTAAGCTTAAGAATCTTGGAGAACCGAACATGGTGACTCATGTCTGCAATCCTAGTAATTTGGGAGTCCAAGGCAGGAGGATTTCTTGAGCCCAGGAGTTTGAGATCAGCCTGGGCAACATAGGGAGACTACATTTCTACAAAAAGTTAAAAAATTAGCAGGTCGTGATGGTGCATGCCTATAGTCTGTGCTACTCAGGAAGCTGAGGTGGGGCAATCACTTGAGCCCACGAGGTCAAGGCTGCAGAGAGCCGTGATCATGTCACTGCACTCCAGCCTGGGTGACAGAGTTAGAGTGTGTCTCAAAATAAAAATAAAAAATAAAAAAAATAAAGAATCCTGGGGGAGCTAACTCCGTAAACACCGCTGCACCTTGGATGCATACATACTGTGTAGTGTACAATAGAATGTAAGGATGAAATCAGGTGGTGTATATGACAGTGATTTCTACATCATTAAGTATAGTTACAAAAGTATGCACTGGTATTAATTAATCCAGATTTTCATAACCCTACAATTACATCCAAAGCCCACTAGTTTTGCACATGGTGTAAAAGAAAATGAATCAAGAAATGTTAAAATGGGTAAACACAGATTAGAAAGAGGGGTCTTGAGGCTGAAATTCCGATGATTTGTTTCCTTTAAAAGAGGAAATGTATCATTCCTTGAGAGAGGACATCCTGGGATAGGAATGACAGGGGGCATGATTCAGGGGAGGATCCAGGAGAGTTGTTACATCATTAGTTGTTAATAATCTATGGGACGTTTGGTATTCTTTAAGATTTCCTAGAAGTAAACTTTTTGAACAGAGAAAGAAGAAACGTTTAGAGTTGTGTGTGTGCATTACATATTACAAACTTTTTTCCAAAAAACTTGTACCAGATCGCAATTTTACCAAGAGCATGTGGAATGCCCATTTCATAACATCCTTACCTACAGTGATTGTAGTAACTGTAAAGATTCACTGCCAATTTGATAGGCAAATATGGATCAGTGTTATTTTAATGAACATTTCTTAGAATGATATTAAACTCTTTTTTCGTATATTGTTTATTTTTATTTCTACTTTTATGAATTGTCTATTCATTCTTTTTCTTATTTTTCTATTAGGGCATAAATAGTTTTATTAATTAAGAGAATATATATAAAGATATCAACTCATTGTCTTACATATTGCAAAGAATGCAAGAAAATTTATAAATAAAAATAAAAGTTATCATTGAAGACAATTAAGTTATAAAAAATGTTCCTAAGAAAAGCTGCAAGAGTTCCATCTCATTTGAGCTTTCATAAAAAGACATCCAAACACACATATTCCAAACAGTTCTAAATTACGAAATTAGAGAATTAGAGGTAGTAAAATAGAGTTGATGACATTTCATAAATTCTATGAACAAAACAAGGACTAACAGAAGGGCAAAACATTATTGGATTGATGATGATGTTATAAAAATAATATTGGGCTGGGTGTTGTGGCTCACACCCGTAATCCAGCACTTCGGGAGGCCAAGGTGGGAAGATGGTTTGAGCCCAGGAGTTTGAAACTAGCCTAGGCAACAAAGCAAGACCATGTCTCTACCAAAAAAATATTAATTAATAAGTTATTTTAATTAAATATAAATAATAACCCAAGCAGATAATATTCACTGGGTTGATAGGTGGACAAATGTGTGATAAAGCAAATATAGCAAAATGTTAATCACAGACTCTAGATGCCAGGTATATGGGCGTTCACTGTATAATTATCTCCATTTTATGCATATTTGAAAGTTTTCATAATAAACTATTAGAGAAAAAAGATAAAATTTACCTTCAACACGAATACATTTCCATGCCTGTGTTATGTAATGGGCTAATGTTGTTTTCCCAACACCCTTAAAAAGAAAAATGTTATTTAAAGCCCAACAGAACAGTCACTTGCCAGTGAAACAGATATACCAATTTTTAAAGATTCTATTGCTAGTTACTATTACATTAATGTTATAAAGTAATTTTTCCCATAAAAAATGAAGAGTAGACCCTAGATATGTATAGTTTAGTTTTTCTTTACTAATTCTTGCATATGCCACATCTCCTAAAGTAATATAAATAGACCCTTTAAAATTAAGTAGATAGCCCTAAAATCAGGAAGCTATCCCATTATGGTATTGCACTCTTTTAACTGTCAAATTTTATAATTTTGATTACAAATCATTGTGATTATATTGGAGAGTCATCATTTTATTTCCTTTCTAAAGTTTACAATCATGAATGTTTTGATAGGCTTCCATTTTAGTAATTTTGATGAGCAAAAAGATCCTTTTTAACTGACATCTTTGGAAAGTATCATACTTTAAAGATAAAAGGTCGTTTTGATGAAGTAACATTTGCATCTGGTTGCTTTCACTGTTGACTTTTTAAAACCTATTATGTTTTTAGAAACATAGTGAAAGTTGTTGAAACCATTTATTGGTACCTGTCCCAGGGTCCACATAAAATAAGTCAAGGATGGGATCCAGCTCTTAATCTCTGCTATGCTGGAGAGGCTCTTTAATTAACCAGCTTAGTGGCTGTCAGTAGCTCTTATCTCAAGTTCCTTACTAGAAATGTCTAGAAAAGCAAACTTTATTACAACAGCCATTTTGGTTTTTTCCTGCTTTGTGGAAAGACAACACATAGGTCCTCTAACACGCTGTAGGTAAAGCCTGAGGCACAGTGCCTCTCAGGATCTCAGACATTAACAGGAGAACCTCCTGGCTCATCTGGATGGTGTCCTATCTTCACATATCCAGACAGCCTCACAACAAATTGCAAAGGAAATTTCATATGCAAATAAAGTCTGAAGTAACCTCAGATCGCACACTACTAACAGTTGTCATGTGTGGTGTTTTGGTGAGTTACTTTCCTCATAATATAAAAGCAAATTTAAATATAGTCTGGGTTCCTTCTCAATTATAACATATAAGAAGAGAGAGAGTTATGAATTTATAACCAATATTATGTCAGATTTTAAGTCATATAATGAAAACTTATCAGACGCTCAAAAAATGAGCACAATATGTGGTTTTTATTTTTATACGGTAACTTAGAAAATTGTGATTTTAAAAATAAAAAAAAATTATACCAAATAATAAGAGATAACTTACTGGTTTCCCAAATACAACAAAGCAAACAGGTTTGGACAACAAAAAATTCCTTTCAGTTTCATCTTCATCAAATATATCTGCAAAAGGAGGCTCTTCTGTCTTCTCCTGAGAAGTCATGATACAAAATACTACAATAAAACAGGGTAAGATTGTTAACTTGCCTAATTTGGTTGGAGGAGGTGACTAGGAACAATTGAAATAATCTGTGAATTTTCTTAGCCCAGAAGTCATTTTGTACCATTAAACACATGAATTTTGTCAGTAATTGCAAATAAGTTTAACTCATTTATAAAAATAATAGTAAGCTCTTAGTTTGAGACAAAAACAAAATCTAACTATATGTTGTATAAAAGAGAGCTCAAAGTGTTTCTGAAAGACTAACTTAAGGAAAAAATACATATATACGTAAAAATACACAGATTTGTGTGTATTATATTAAAAAACAAATTAAAGTTAAATATGTTGTACATGCATATGCAACATAGGTGCATGTAAAAATTTTACCAGAAATGGAAAAGGTAATGTTGGCTAAATGTATTAGATTCATATTTTCATATTTTAGGAAGCTTTGGTTAATTCCATGAAGAAAACTTTTCCAAAAGTAATGTAGTTTTTACATTTTTTCTTTTGTAATATTTTATAAATATCTACAAGAACATATTGTTTTCAGAAACCTTTTGCTATTTTGATTTGCTCTTAAGCGGATTTCTAGCAGAGAAGCTCGAGTCCTCAATATTTTAACATGAACAGTTTTCAACTTAGTCCAACTCTTTTGGAGTCAATCAGAAAAAAATAAGGTCATAACTTTTTTATTTGTTTTTGCACGAAGACTGTCTCTTGTTTTCAAGCACTTGTAGACTACATATTCATACTCATGAAATATTTATATATACCCATTGAATATTTCTATTATGTAAACAATAAAATAGCATGGGACATATCTCTTGATCACAATAAAATAATGTTAAAAATAGTGATAAAAGAATTTTAAAAACCCCTAATTGTCGAAAATTAAAAAGAAAAAAGAAAACTATATTTTTCTAAATATTACTTGATCAAATACAATTTTAAAATGGAAATGATAAAATATTAGCAAAATAATAGTATTATTAAATATCGATACTATGAAGAAACTGCATCAACTAATGGGCAAAACAACTGGCTAGCATCATAGTGACAGGAACAAATTCACACATAGCAATATTAACCTTAAAAGTAAATGGGCTAAATGCCCTGATTAAAAGACACAGACTGGCAAATTGGATAAAGAGTCAAGACCCATCAATGTGCTGTATTCAGGAGACCCATCTCGTGCAAAGACACACATAGGTGCAAAATAAAGGGATGAAGGAATATTTACCAAGCAAATGGAAAGCAAAAAAAGGCAGGAGTTGCAATCCTAATCTCTGATAAAACAGACTTTAAACCAATAAAGATCAAAAGAGACAAAGAAGGGCATTACATAATAGTAAAGGGATCAATGCAGCAAGAAGAACGAACTATCCTAAATATATATGCACCCAATACAGGAGCACCTAGATTTAGAAAGCAAGTTCTTAGAGACCTACAAAGAGACTTAGACTCCCACACAATAATAGTGGAAGACTTTAACACCTCATTGTCAATATTAGACAGATCAATGAGACAGAAAATTAATAAGGATATTCAGGACTTGAACTCAGCTCTGAACCAAGCGGACCTAATAGACATCTACAGAACTCTCCACCCCAAATCAATAGAATATACATTGTTCTCAGCACCTCATTGCATTTATTCTAAAATTGACCACATAATTGGAAGAAAAACACTCCTCAGCAAACACAAAAGAACAGAAATCATAACAGTCTCTCAGACCACAGTGCAATCAAATTAGAACTCAGGATTAAGAAACTCACTCAAAACCACACAACTACATGGAAACTAACCTGCTCCTGAATGACTACTGGGTAAATAACGAAATTAAGCTAGAGATAAAGATGTTCTTTGAAACCAATGAGAATGAAGACACAATGTACCAGAATCTCTGGGACACATTTAAAGTAGTGTGTAGAGGGAAATTTATAGCACTAAATGCCCACAAGAGAAAGCAGGAAAGATCTAAAATCGACACCCTAACATGACAATTAAAAGAACTAGAGAAGCAACAGCAAACAAATTTAAAAATCTACAGAAGACAAGAAATAGCTAAGATCAGAGCAGAACTGAAAGAGATAGAGACACAACAAACCCTTCAAAAAATCAATGAATCCAGGAGCTGATTTTTTGAAAAGATCAACAAAACAGATAGACTGCTAGTCAGACTATAAAGAATAAGAGAGAAGAATCAAATAGACGCAATAAAAAATGATATCATCACTGATCCCACAGAAATACAAACTACCATCAGAGAATACTATAAACACCTCTACACAAATAAACTAGAAAATTTAGAAGAAATGGATAAATACCTGGACACATACACCCTCCCAAGTCTAAACCAAGAAGAAGTTGAATCCCTGTATAAACCAATAACAAGCTCTGAAATTGAGGCAGTAATTAACAGCCTACCAATCAAAAAAAGTCTAGGACTAGATGGATTCACAGCCGAATTCTAACAGAGGTACAAAGAGGAGCTGGTACCATTCCTTCTGAAACTATTCCAATCAATAGAAAAAGACGGAATCCCCCCTAACTCATTTTATGAGGCCAGCATCATCCTGATACCAAAACCTGGCAGAGACACAACAACAACAAGAAGAAAATTTCAGGCCAATATCCCTGATGAACATTGATGCAAAAATCCTCAATAAAATGCTGGCAAACTGAATGCAGCAGCACATCAAAAAGCTTATCCACCGCAATCAAGTCAGCTTCATCCCTGGGATGCAAGGCTGGTACAACATACACAAATCAATAAATGTAATCCATCACATAAACAGAACCAATGACAAAAACCACATGATTATCTCAACAGATACAGAAAAGGCCTTCAACAAAAGTCAACACCCCATTCATGCTAAAAACTCTCAATAAACTAGGTATTAATGGAATGTATCTCAAAATAATAAGAGCTATTTATGACAAGCCCACAGCCAATATCATATTGAATGGGCAAAAACTAGAAGCATTCCCCTTGAAAACTAGCACAAGACAAGGATGCCCTCTCTCACCACTCCTATTCAACATAGTATTGGAAGTTCTGGCCAGGGCAATCAGGCAAGAGAAAGAAATAACGGGTATTCAAATAGGGAGGGAGGAAGTCAAATTGTCTCTGTTTGCAGAGGACATGATTGTATATTTAGAAAACCCAATTATCTCAGCCCAAAATCTCCTTAAGCTCATAAGCAACTTCAGTAAAGTCTCAGGATACAAAATCAATGTGCAAAAATCACAAGCATTTGTGTATACCAATAACAGACAAACAAAGAGCCAAATTATGAGTGAACTCTCATTCACAATTGCTACAAAGAGAATAAAATAATTAGGAATACAACTTACAAGGGATGTGAAGGACCTCTTCAAGGAGAACTACAAACCACTGCTCAAGGGCATAAAAGAGGACACAAACAAATGGAAATACATTCCATGCTCATGGATAGGAAGAATCAAATTGTGAAAATGGCCATACTGCCCAAAGTAATTTATAGTGCTATCCCCATCAAGCTACCATTGACTTTCTTCACAGAATTGGAAAAAACTACTTTAAACTTCATATGGAATGAAAAAAGAGCTCGTACAGCCAAGACAATCCTAAGCAATAAGAACAAAGCTGGAGGCATCACACTACCTGACTTCAAACAAGCAATGGGGAAAAGATTCCCTATTTAATAAATGGTGTTGGGAAAACTGGCTAGTCAAACACAGAAAACTGAAATTCGACCCCTTCCTTACACTTTATACAAAAATTAACTCAAGATGGATCAAAGACTTAAATGTAAGACCCGGGATCATAAAAGTCCTAGAAGAAAACCTGGGCAATACCATTAAGCACATAGGCATGGACAAAGACTTCATGTCTAAAACACCAAAAGCAATGGCAACAAAAGCCAAAATTGACAAATGGGATCTAATTAAATTAAAGAGCTTCTGCACAGCAAAAGAAACTATCATCAGAGTGAACAGGCAACCTACAGAATGGGAGAAAATTGTTGCAATCCATCAATCTGACAAAGGGCTAATATCCAGAATCTACAAAGAACTTAAACAAATTTATAAGAAAAAAAAACAAATAACCCCATCAAAAAGTGGGCAAAGGATATGAACAGACACTTCTCAAAAGAAGACATTTGTGCAGCCAACAGACATATGGAAAAAATGCTCATCATCACTGGTCGTCAGAGAAATACAAATCCCACAATGAGATACCATCTCATGCCAGTTAGAATGGCGATCATTAAAAAGTCTGGAAACAACAGATGCTGGAGAGGATGTCGAGAAATAGAGACACTTTTACACTGTTGGTAGGAGTGTAAATTAGTTCAACCATTGTGGAAGACAGTGTGGTGATTCCTCAAGGATCTAGAACCAGAAATACCATTTGACCCAGTGATCCCATTACTGGGTATACCCAAAGGATCATAAATCATTCTACTCTAAAGACACATGCACACATATGTTTACTGTAGCACTATTTACAACAGAAAAGACTTGGAACCAACCTAAATGTCCATCAATAATAGACTGGATAAAGAAAATGTGGCACATATACACCATGGAATACTATGCAGCCACAAAAAAGGACGAGTTCATGTCCTTTGCAGGGACATGGATGAAGCTGGAAACCATCATTCTTAGCAAACTATCACAAGAACAGAAAACCAAACACACCGCATGTTCTCACTCATAAGTGGGGGTTGAAAAATGAGAACACACGGATGTAGGGAGGGGAACATCACACACCAGGGCCTGTCAGGGGGTGGGGGGGGCTATAGGAGGGATAACATTAGGAGAAATACCTAATGTAGGTGACGGGTTGATGGGTGCAGCAAACCACCATGGCACACAAACCACGTGTGTACCTACGTAACAAAACTGCACATTCTGCACATGTGCCCCAGAACTTAAAGTATAATAATAAGAAAAAGAAAAGGCCAAGTGGAAGCTCATGACATTGCATACTGGGTCCTCTACCCCTGGGCAAGATAACCAAGAGTAAATCATTCTGAATGAAGAGTGATACGAACAATTTAAAAGATGTATAATCCTGCTTATTGCTCCAATCTTGCTTTTATAGAAGCTAGAGCACAACAGATGAGGGTAGACTTCTGCAAATTTAACAAGCTGGTAGTCTCAGTTGCAACTGCTGTAAGGATGAGATCTTTACTAGATAGACACAGTATCTTGTATTTTTTATGCAGCTGATGATCTGGCAATGTGAGTCTTCTTTTCAATCCCCATGAAGAAAGGATCGGAAGCAATTTGTATTCACTTAGAGCAGTGACAGCAAACATCCAGTCTTACCCACGGACTCTCCTGCTGTTTGAGACAATATAGTATAAAGGGGTCTTGATCCACAATGTTGACAATATCAGACCTAGTGAGCAGGAAGTGGCAAGTGTCCCGGATCCTCTTATAAAGACACATAAGCAGTATAAAGTGAGAGATAAACCTACAAAGTTTGAAGGTCTTATTACTTCGGTAAAGTTTTAAAAGGCCAGTGATCCAGGACATTCTGTCCAAGGTAAAGGATGAGTTACTGTACCTCGTACCTTCAACCTCTAAAAAAGAGGCACAGTATTTTGTAGGCCTCTTTAGTTTTCAAAGAGAGCATGAAGCACACTTAAGAATACTGTTTTGACCCATTTAGTGGGTGACATGGAAAGCTGTCTCAGCCAACACCAGATTGCAGCCTTGTGAAACCCTGAGCAGAGGACCCAGATGAGTGATGCCAGGGCCCCTGGCCGTGGAAACCTTGCAATCACAAATGTGTGTTTTAAGCTGCTAAATTTGTGGTAATTCGCTATGCAGCAGAGAAAACTAATATTAGTGGATGTAAAATACATAGATATTTGTATCTCAGAAAGCATCCACCTCAGAAGAGGCACTGAAAAAACCAGGCGATAGGATAATTTATCCAGTAGACACAAGCCAATCTTTGCTTCTGGTCACCTCAATGATTGCACAATGGGTTCGTAAATGAAGTAGGCATGGTGGTGGGGATGAAGGTGATGAAGGCTAGGCATGGGCTCATAACAAGGCCCCCTTTCACCAGGCTGGTTTAGCTACACTACTGCTGCTGAATGTTGTACCTGTTCATGGCAGAGACCTATTCATATTAAGCCCTCAATATGGTACAACCCCTTTAGGAGACAAAACATTCATTCAGTGACAAATTGATTACAAATTGAGACCTGTTCATATTGAGCCCTCACTATGGTACAATCCCTTTAGGAGACAAAACATTCATTTGGTAACAAATTGATTACACAAGACCCCTTCACCTCTGAAGGGGCAAGTGACAAGTGCTCCTAATATGGGCTTGTTTTTCCTACCTGCAGTGCCTTGGCCAGCACCACTATCTAAAGGTTTAGAGTATGTCTCATTTATCTTCATGAAATCTCATATAATATTGCCTTGGATCGGAGGACCCTTTTTACCTACCACTTCACCTAGAAGCTGCTGGTTTGACAGAATGTTGGAATGGCCTCTTAAAGGCACAGCTAAGGTGCTAGCCTGGGATTGTGCGGGATTTGAGACAATGTACTTCAAGATGAGGAATATGCTTTGAATCAAGGGCTGGAAGCAGGAGTGACCGCTCTCACTAATACTCTCAGTGACTGACTTGGGGAATTTGCACCTCGCTTGTGAACAAGAGGTCCTGGGTCTGGTGGAGTGGAAAGACGGTTCTATCAGGGGACCCAGTAAAGGTTTCGTTAAATCTTAAAACTACTGCTGGTCATTTTTGACTCCACAAGCCCGTAAGTTATTGCACTGGCAGATGGAGATAGGGTTGCTGCTATAAAATTGGATGAGATTGGGGGTGCTCAGGGTGGTATGGCCACAAACTGCTAGATAGGTGGGATAGGGGATGCATTTCTTGAACTCAGGGGATTCTCTGAGACAGCTCTTGATGCTTTCACGTCCAGTGAATGGGTAATTGCAGCAACCAAAACCTGACAATGACACAGTAACCAAGGGTTTACACTCCTCAGGAATGAAAGCTCGTTATCCTACTGGGCAAACAACAGACCAGCAGAAGTGTTGGCCAAGAGAAAGGAAAATCTAGAATGATGGTAGAGGAAGGAGATGATCAATTACAGACCTTGGATTAATTGCAGTAGAGGATTCTGCAGTTTGTCCCATTCATCTTTTTTGTGTAAGTTCTTTTCTTTTAAAAACTGAGACTAGCCACTACCTTAAAGAATTAGGGCGGGATGGGGTGAACTTGATGTGGAGGAAGAGTGGACATGAGTGCTGCAAAGGGTGGAATGTAGCAGCTGCTATTAGTGCCTTCCCCATACCCACTTGACATACATCTTTTCTATGCACGACCAGCCCAACTTCCAAAATGTCAGCATGTGCGACTTTTTGCCTATGGGCTCTCTCCAGCTGCCAGAACCTACTCTCCCTGAACATAGGGTAGACTGGAAGTTCTAGGGAATCAATGTTCTGCCGTATCAGGCTTCATCCAATAACTGATGGGAGTTAGCGAATAAATACTCCAGCTTCCTTGCCCCTTAAGAGGGGATAACTGAGACATGCCTCCCAGTATTCCCTAGAGAATTCAGCCCACAAAGAAACTTCTTTGGTAATATTCCCTTTATTAGTTTTCTTCCCCTCCCTGCTGCTGTTTCCTGGGATTACGTCTCGTATAAACAACCTTCCCTCAAAGTTTTGTCTTCGGATCTGATCCTGGGTGAAAGAAATTAAGACAAAGTTAAAATGGAAGTGCTAAACCATAATAATCGAAAACTAGAAACCTTAAGGTATTTTAAGAGCTGCTATCCTACATAAAAACACTGTGCAAATATTTAACTAATATTCAGAAGAGTTGGTTTCATTATGAAACAGAACGCAGCTAATTATTTTTCCCAGCTAAAAGATCCAAGTTCAAAATGCCAGAACGGACACGGCCATCTTTCTAGTTCTTAATAAAAGGAGTACCAAACTACAGGGGGGGAAAAGCGCAAAATAACATATAATTAAGTATTTCTTTAACATTTTTTTAATTTCTCAAGTTTTAATTTACAATATGATCTTTCGTATTACATGAATGTTATCTGTGTATGCTATAATTCTGTAATTTTTTTAAAAAGCTTCCTTACACTTAGCAGTTGAGAAGCCCTCTAGCGGAGGATTCTGAGGTTTAGAGGTTTCCTGGGAAAACCTAGCATTGCCGCCTAAGTTAGGAGAGCGGCCTCTCCCCTACATCTTATACTCTTGCAGTAGGTGTTCAGTAAATATTTGTGGAATAAATACTTTAGTCGTTGAAAGGAGACGTGGTTTTAAAAAGTGAATTTACAAAGACCGTTTTGCAAGAAAAGGAGCTGGTCGGGGGTCCCCGCAGGAGGCAGGGTTCCGTGCAACAGATACCAAGGTGCCTCTGGGGCGGACCACGACCCAGCCGGCCGCGGGAAGCCTCCTTACCTGGCCGCAGCGGACCCTCCTCAGGTCAGCAACCGCCTCCACTGGCTCCGCCGGGCTGTTGGGAGGTTGCCGGGGAGACCTCGGGCCGCCGCGCACCGGCGGCTTGGAGGGCGGGGCCTCGGGAGGCGGGGCTGTAGTTCACTGTCATTTCTGTTCCAATTCGAAATAGTCACTTTTGTACCTAATTTGGCATTCATATTTCTAATGCACTCATTTTCACAACTATGGAAGGGGGGTACACGCATGCCCATTTATGTAGCACACACGAAATGAAGAAACCTCCTTTCCAGCGCGGCTCCGCCACACTGCGCTAGAGTCTCTGTCGAAAACTTCAAGTGGCTAGTCTCAGGCACAAACGTGTGGCAAAGCCACACTTTCCAGCTTTAGGTGATTTTAAAACAATTCCTTGGGCCACACAACGTAGGCACAACATGGATTAGAGGTGAGGGGAAAACTGATACTCAGTGAAGGACTGTCAGAGGGCCGGCTTTCAGCAGCGGGCAGGGAAAACACAACGATCTATCCTGCAACTCGGAGAATCCTTTTCAAAAGAAGTTACCCAATCCCAAACCTTCCTCTTTTTTCCAAAGAGAGGGAGGAGATAGACTCTACTAATCCGTCGACTTTTTCTCCGCCCACGTTTTCCTCCTGTCCTTACCAAAGATGGCGCCCTTCGCTTCCTCTCTTGGCAGCACGCAGGTCCCGGGAGCCTCTATCCGACCTCTCTATGATACGTCCTCCAGCCCCGCTCCTGCCGTGAGGGGCGGAGCTTGCTTGGAAGCGGGGCGCAGGAATCCGGAAACACCTGGTCATCTATAGGTTTAGTGCCCAGGCGGTGTTGTTCCTGGCTGGACTTGATGTCCAGGGTCTGAGGAGTTTTCTCGCCGAGTCTCCTGGGGCGGTCCGGCGGTTCGTGCCCTGTTGTGGGACCCACATTTGCAGCTGCTATGCCCTCGGCCGCCGCCCCCATTATCAGCTCGGTCCAGAAGCTGGTTCTGTATGAGACTAGAGCTGTGAGTACCCCTCGCCGCAGGGGGGCGGGGGGGAGGTGCGGGAGGATGGATGTCTGCCGGTGGGTGTGGGGCCGTAGGGCAGAGGCTGTACCCTGCCTCCTCCTTCTTCCTCTCCAGTTCCCAAATCCCTGTCAAACACAGCCTTGAGGTAAGCTAGCTCCCTTGGACTGTGCCTGGGCGCCTTTCCCCTATTTTGGTACCCTGGATATTGCAGCATTTGCAGGTCCACTTACAGTCCATGGCTGGAACATGCTGGAAACAGGTGCTTGTGGTACCTCAGGAACTGCTCATGAGGTTCTCTGTACGAGTTACTGGATTCTTTTCAGCTTTCAGAAAGTGTTAAAGTTCTAGAGTTCACAAGTTACAGTACAGGCAGGGGTGTGAAAAAATTTGAACTATGGCTCGTAACTTATTTTTTCCTATTCCATGGTATACCATCACTGCGATTGATGTGAATTACACTTCTATTGCTGAATTTTTTGGTTCTCTTTCTTATTTGAAAGGAAAGACTTACTTTGTTTAAAGACATCTAATTTGGTTGGATAACATCTTGCTTTTCACTTGACTTTTTTCAACATAAGATTTACTTTTAAAATTTTATTACTTTCAATGGCCATGTAAATAGTGAATAAGCCGATCAGTTTGTATGTATTTCAATTACTAGTTCCTCAATTAAGGGGGAATGGTGTTTATAGAACTTCATACTTGGTCCTTTCTGTGGGTGGAAAGCAAAGTTGGTACAGTATAGCTCTCTAAATTGGGGTGCCACAGTGATATTAGGGACTGTGTTTAAATTACCCATTTCGTGCTGACAAGATTGCATATGCCAGATATTTGCATAATGCTCTTCACTGTGTTATAGAGTGCTTTATAAACTGTTTCTCTGAAACTTGGGTTGTCTCCATTAGAGGAGTACGAGAAGGCAGTTGACAGTTTCTCAGTTATAACATAGTCCTAATAGCACAATAACCTCTCCCTCAGGTTAACATGAGTAGAGAATTGTTGACCTTAAATTAATTTTGCTGACAACTTTGATTAGATCTAGATCAGAAGATGAAATTATCAAATATACTGTATTTGCAAGTATTTTCAGTTCTTTAATGAGAGTCATAAAGAAGTATCATTTGACGTTGAAATGAAACCTATTTTTTTGTAAAATGTGCTGCTAGATGTTCCCAGTTAGAAACATAAATAACTTTTTTTTTCCGTTTGAGATAAGAGTCTTGCTCTGTCACCCAGGCTGGAGTGCAATGGTGCTATCTCGGCTCACTCACTGCAACCTCTGCTTCCTAGGTTCAAGCAATTCTCCCACCCCAGCCTCCCAAGAAGCTAGGGTTACAGGCATGTGCCACCATGACCAGCTAATTCTTGTGTTTTTAGTAGAAGACAGGGATTCTCCATGTTCGCCGGGCTGATCTAAAATGCCTGGCTTTGGCCTCCCAAAGTGTTGGGATTACAGGCGTGAGCTGCCGCATCTGGCCATAAATAAAACGCAAATTTCAGCTCATTAAAAAGCTAATCACTCATGAGGACTGCGTGAGATATTAGTGTTCAGAAAGCACAATTCATATTATAGGGCTCTTCTGCTCAGAAGTCTTCAGTAGTCCCAATTCTGAGGAGAGTAAACTCTGAATCCCTTAGGTTGGCATTCAAAGCCATGTGTTCTTTATCCTCAACTTGTCTATCTAGTTTTACATCTAATTTAATATCAATTCATGAAACATTTATTGAGGATCAACCATGTGCCTTCACATGCCTTATTCTGCAGTGAAACTGTATTGCTTTCAGTTCCTTGTATCTACCCTGTGTTTTTCTGCTGTTCTCCATTCTCATAATGCCACACCCCCTCTTTTCCTGTCAAAGCCTTGCTAATCCTCACAGCACATATCTGGTCATGGCTTGCAAACAGTAGACTCTCAATAGATGTGGATTAAGGAGCTCTAACACAAACAGACAGAGGTGTGTTCTAGAACTCAGCTGTGACCCCTCTCAACCGCCTAAGTAATGGAAATTAACTCTGGCCAGCTTAGAGACAAAAGGTAAATTTATCAGAGGGATGCTAGGGGAGCCGTTGCGTGGTATCATTGGCAGATCCTAACTCTTCAGCTTCTGGAAAAGCAGGAAAGAGATAACAGGTTTGAGAACCCTCTCAGAGCACTACCAAAAATAGTGTAGGTGCTGGGAGAAAGTATCTGATTGACTCAACTATGATTGGGTATCATCCCCTGAGTGGACAAATCATTCATGGCCAGGGAGGGTCTGGCAGGAATGATTTAGCTGTGGAATCATCCTCTTTGTTTCAGCAAATGGTTGGGGCTGGGCAACCACCCTTGAAAATATCTGCTGCATTGAATCACTGAGTCTTGGTTTTGTTGTTAGTTAAATAACTTTTTTTTTTTAATTTAAATATATAAGCAGAAAGGTTTTGTTTTCTTTTGTTTTTAGTAATAAGCCCAAAATATAAATAAATAAGAAAAAGGCATAAAATTTTATAATATAAATGCCATGAATTAAAAAAAACTGTAGTAGGTTGTAATAATGAGAATAGTAGCTCAAAATATTCTACATATATTTTATTATTTGATCTTCACAAGACCTCTAAGAGATCACACTGTTACTACTACTACTATATATAATATTTGGTAAAGAAAAAAAATGAGGCAAAGATAATTTAAGGCAGTGTTACTTAACCCATTTATGCTGGAGGTTGCAAATTTTTTTGTGTGAAAAATCAGACCTTTGCCATGACCTTGAGCAGTAGGATATAAATAAGTCCCACAAGTTCCAATAATGGAACACTAGGCATAAGGTGTGGTGCATGTGTTAAGAATGTATATTGGGGAAAGGACAGTCTCTTCAATAAATGGTGTTGAGAAAACTGGATATCCATGTGCAGAAGAATGAAATAAGGCCCTTCTCTCTTGCCATATCCACAGATCAACTTAAAATGGATTAAAGGCTTAAGTGCAAGACCCCAAACTGTAAAACTACCAGAAGAAAACATACGGGAAATGCTTCAGGATATTGGTCTAGGCAAAGATTTTATGAGTAAGACTTTAAAAGCACAGGGAACAAAAGCAAAAATAGACAAATGGGACTATATCAATCTGAAAAGCTGCACAGCAAAAGAAACAATCAACAGAGTGAAGAGGCAACCTATAGAATGGAGAAAATATTTGCAAACTCTTCATCCAAGAAGGGACTAATATCCAGAATATACAAGGAATTCAACAACTCAACAGCAAATACCCCCAGATAATCCAATTAAAATGAGCAGGGATCTAAGTAGACATTTCTCAAAAGAAGATATACAAATGACCAACAGGTATATGAAAAATTACTCAAGGTCACTAATTATCAGGGAAATGCAAATTAAAACCACAGTGAGATACCGTGTCACCTCAGTTAAAATGGCTATTTTCAAGAGGACAAAAATTACCAAATGCTGGTGAGGATATGGAGAAAGGGAATTCTTATACAGTATTGGTGGTAATGTAAATTAGTATAGCCATTATAGAAAACAGTATGGAGGTTCCTCAAAAAACTAAAAATCTGGCAATCCCATTACTGGGTGTGTATATGAGGGGATTTCAAAAAGTTCATGGGAAAATGGAATTAAAAGATAAAAATAACAAATGTAAACTTTTTTTCTCAAGCTAATTTCCATCAAGGTCAAGACATTTTTGTAACTAATGATACCAGCCATTTAATTCATCCATAAAGATCTGAGGGTCCTGGGAATTTAACCATGTTGGTGCAGTCTTTTTTACTTTGTTAACTAAAGAAAAATAGGTGCCCTTTAAGGATTTTTTTTTTTAAGATGAGAAAACAAAAAGAAGTCAGAAGGAGCAAAATTGGAACTGTAAGGCAGAGGCCTAATTATTTTCCATTGAAACTCTTGCAAAATTCCCATGTTTGATGAGAGGAATGAGCAGGAGCATTGTTGAGGTGGAGAAAGACTCTGTGATGGAGCTTCCTGGGTATTTTTCTCCTGAAGTGTTGGCTGACTCTCTCAAAACACTGTCATAATAAGCAGATACCGTTCTTTAGCTTTCCAGAAAGTCAACGAGCAAAATGCAGTGAGTACACACACACACACACAGATGTTGCCATGACCTTTCCTCTTGGCTGGTCTGCTTTGCTTTAATTGGATCACTGCCATCTGTTGGTAGCTATTGCTTTGACTGTGCTTTGACTTTAGGATCATACTGGTAAAGCCATGTTTAATACAGTTCTTCGAAGAAATGCTTCAGGATCTTGATCTCACTTGTTTAAAATTTCTATAGAAGGCTCTGCTCTTGTCTGCAGCTGATCTGGGTGAAACAGTGTTGGGAGCCGTCAAATGGAAAGTGTGCTCAACTTTAAATTTTCAGGCAGAATTGTGTCAGTTGTACCAATTGAGATGTCTATGGTGTTGGCTCCTATTTCTGCTGTTAATCATCTGTTCTCTTTAATCAAGGAACAAACAAGATGAATTTTTTTCTTGAAAAATTTACATGGATGGTCTGCTGCTGTGGGCTTCATCTTCAACGTCATCTCATCCCTTCTTAAAGTTATTTATTTGTAAACTGCATATTTCTTTGGGGCATTGTCCCCATAAACTTTTAATAAGCATCAGTGATTTCACCATTCTTCCACCCAAGTTTTACCATAGACTTGATGTTTGTTCTTGTTTCAATTTTAGCAGAATTCATGTTGCTCTGATGGGCTCTTTTCAAACCGATCTCTTACCCT